TGGCCTCACGCCGACCGCTCATCCACGTTCTGGGGTCCCTCAACCTGGATCAGGTGTCATATGTCTCCCACCACCCCTTACCAGGCGAGACGATGACAGCCAACGGCTTTGAATCGGGCTGCGGGGGTAAGGGAGCGAACCAGGCCGCCTGCGCCAAGCTCTCGCGGACATGCACTCTGGAGAACCACAGCGTCGATGTTGCCATGATCGGAGCCGTCGGAGGAGATGCGGCTGGAGCTGAGCTTATTCAGGGCCTCGCCTCCTACGGCGTGGACACCAGCATGGTCCAGGTGAACACCTCGGGCGGCGAGGAGGCCAAGTCAGGCGTTGCCGTCATCATCATTGACGAATCAGATGGCCAAAACAGAATCATCCTCTCGCCAGGAGCCAACAAGTCTGTGGGATCGGCTGAGATCCAGAAGTCTGTGGGTCTCAAGCCAGACCTTTTGATTCTCCAGATGGAAGTGCCCCCTGCCACCGTCGCCGAGAGCATCAGTGCTGCCAAAGCCGCACAGATCCCGGTCCTTCTGAACCAGGCACCGGCGATGGCGCTTCCCGCCGAGTCCTATCAAGGACTGGATCATCTTGTTCTCAACGAGACTGAGGCCGCTCTGTTAGCAGATGTCGAGGAGTCTGACTTGGAGAGCCTGCCTTCGCTCGGGCAGGTGGCCGAAAAGTTCCTGCAGCAAGGCGTCAAGAACCTGGTCATCACTCTGGGCGCCCGAGGCGTATTCTACGCCACACAGACAGGGGAGAGCCAGCTCGTACCTGCCCTCAAGGTCAAGGCCATCGACACGACGGCAGCCGGAGATACCTTCATCGGAGCGTACGCGGTGGCTTTTGCTGAGGAAACGTCGCGCGGCGAAGCATTCAAGATTGGGAATGCTGTGGCCCGAGCCATAAAGGCATCGAGCATCACGGTGTCACGGCGAGGAGCTCAGCCATCGATTCCGTGGAGGAATGAGCTGGAGCTTCCGTTGCCCTGAGAGCATCACATTATCTCAGAAGAATAAAGACTTTCAACATTCATGTTCGGAGTTCATTGCAAGATTTCTGAGATCAATCCAAGTGGCAGTTGAGACCTCCAACCTTCGCTCTGGCGCTAACGCTACGCTTCCATGCAGCATCTTGAAAACCTAAACCCCCTACCACCCTTCAGGGTACTCGTCTCGCCGAAGTCCAAAGAATCCCTCCTCCGGCAAAGGATACAGTGACGCGTTGTTATTGTAGAGCTGGAAATCGACGCCAGCTCGGGGCACGTCGTTCCCCCACCACTCGAACGAGACGCCCTGGCCAGCGCCGAAGGAGAAAACCAGCGTGACGATGAGCCCCGAAACGGCCACACCGACGCTGAGACCGGCGAACATGAGGTATGCGTACTTGCCCCACCACGCGGTGTACCGCCTCTTGAGGTAGTACTGGAAGAACCAAGCTATGTAGATTCCAAGCGTGGCGTAGGTCAGGTTGTTGTTGCCGGCCCAGCTTAGGGCGCCAGACAGAGCAATGGCCGGGTTCAGGGTCGCCATGACCTTTGACGCGGGCGACCAGAAGTACTTGTCGAGGCGCTCGAAGGGGGCGGTCTCCATCTTGGACTTGAGATGAAGGCGGACGCGGGGCAGGTATTTCTCGCTGACGATCCAGATGACGCCGAGGATGGCGCCGATAAGGAAGCACCAGGGAAGAACAGGGTACAACTTGAACATGTTGTTGGTGCCGAAGGCGCCGAAGAGGATGGTCGAGGACCACACCGAATGGGCATACTGGCAGACCATGTATTGTTTGTTGCTCCACGTGCAGAGCGAGCTGTCCTGGTTGGCGTAGAACATGAGCAGCTCGAGTATGGCGCAGTAGATGAAGCAATTGACGACGACGGACGAGACGTGGCCGCGGAAGACGGCGCGAGGCGGGATGCCGGCGTAGTGTGCGTACTTGAGGTCGCCACTGAAACTGCCTGCCATCTGCTCGAATGCGGCGCCGAGCATGAGGATGATGAGCTGCGGGAGTGGCTGACCAGGGAACCAGATACCCGGGAGGACCTGCCAGATGACGTTGAGCTCGATGCCGGTGCTTGCGATGGATTCGATGACCACCCAGGGGATGGTGAGAAGGGCGCCGATTCCCGTGACGCCGAGGATGGACCACCACGGCGTCTGAGTCGGCCAGGCTGTCAAGCTGACGATGGAGACGACGAAGCCAAAGGCGAAGACGCAGCCGTACCACCACTCGGGGACTTCCTTGTACTTGCGCATCATTCGTGTATGTCCGTCGGTGAAGCCGGTGTAGATGCTCCTGCGCTTCCAGGCGTTGACAGCCATGCCGACGAAGGCCTTCTTGATGGGACCCCAGTACTTCGTGAAAACATACACAATTGAGAAAGTGTAGTAAATGAAATTTGCACCTGTCACGAAAAGATTGGCGATGGCGTAGTAGGGCGGGCCGTACTCCAGGTACTTGTCCGCGTCGAGGCGCTGGTTGTCGTTGAGGACCCTGGTGATGTTGTAGGCGTTACGGGTGTTGTCGAAGGCGGCGTTGGAGTTGACGGGCATGAAGGCGGCCCAGAAGGCGTTCTTGTAGTAGAGGATCAAGATGACGATGCCTGCGATGACGCGCATCACGTATTGCTGGAGCTGGGCGAAGAAGGGGGAGTTCATGGCCTGGTTTCCCGAGGCGTTGGGGTCCCAGCTCGAGAGGGGGTTGAAGCCCATTCCTCCGTATGAGCCGGTGACGGTGGCCAGGTTGAAGTTGTTGGGCGAGATCCAGGTCATCCAGTTGAAAAGGCGGAGGCCGACGAAGAACTGGTTTGGGATCCAGTAGTAGACGAGGAAGATGATGGAGCAGTAGACGAACATCCTGTAGCGGGAGATGGTCCAGCCGTTGATGCGCTCCCGCTTGTTGTCCTGGTTGATGAGTGTCCTGTTAAGTGCCAGAGTTGGCAGAGTCTTTGGCCAGACGGCCTCGATGGGGTAGACGCTTAGTCGACGGAGAATGCCAGCCATGCCGAGGCCGTAGACTTGATTCGCGAGGGCCAACATGACGTTGAATCCGAAGCTGGCCCAGCGTTGGTTGAAGAAGACGGGCATCCTTAGGACGAGAAGACCCGTGAAGTTGCCGATGCTCGAGGCCCCGGTGAAGATGATGGTCGCGAACAGTTGTTCCTTGCTCGTCCAGGGACCCGGGTTCAGGGTGTACCGCGTGCCGCGGAAGGTGAATCCCCAGTCTGGAAGGATGTAGGCCATGCCCCGGCCCATGGGCACTAGGAGGAGCTGCACAACCGAGCCTGGGATGGAGATGCCTGGCTGGCGCGGGGAGAAGACTGGGACACCATGTGAGTTGAGGCACTCGAGAGGATGTATCGGAGCATACAAGTGTTGACGGCCGTGCAGACGCAGACCCAAAAGTATCCCAGGAGATAAGCCCGGAAGCTTTCGCATGCCTCGTCGGCATCATCATACGGAAGGGTGACAGCGCGGACCTCGGCGTAGGGCGACCAGTTGTGACAGAACCCTGCGCGCTTGCACACCTCATACGCCCACTCGCCCTGCTCCATGCCACACGCCTCGTGCCCCTCGACGAGCTCACGGACGCGAGCGAGCATCCGCTGGTCAATGGTGTAGTCGTCCTTCTGGCTCACCAGTAGTGACTTCAGGACCTCGACCGACTCCTCCTCGTTGAGAGTCAAGATCGAAGTCACCATGCGGTCAGGGTCGCAGCCGGGAGGAAGTGTCTCTCCGGCATGCTCACCCGTGTACTCGGCCTTGAGGCGTTCAAGCCACTCGACGGGAGGGAAGGCTTCTGAGGGGGTGCTGCCGCTCTTCTCATCGTACTCGATGACACGCTCGACTTGCTTTGGTGGCAGGTCGCCGTTCTTCTCGTTGACGTCGGTAGACATGATGTCCCAGATGCGTTGCCCGGTGACACAGATCTGCAGTGGGGAGAGAGTTCGGCCTGGCGGAGGCCGGTTATCCTGGAGGATGGCGACGAAGACATATACTCCCCCGCAATGCCATCGTTGGCTCCAACCTCCGCCTCCCCAGAACACACGTTACACCCGCTAGCGCAGGAAGGATTCGGTCAGTTGGGCAGATCGACCGTTCATGTTGCCTCATGTTCGCCCGGAAAGCGGCGATATGGGTCGTACGTGTGGCCGGGGGTGGGTGATCGGGGATGGCATCACCCCTTTTGTGGCTTGGTGTGCTCTCCCCCGCATCGGGCCCCCCTGGCCCCGACGCCAAGGTGATAAAGCCGTGGGAAGACGAGGGGCGAATGGCCTCGATTTGGCAGTTGGGTTTGTTTCCCCGCGGTTGGTGCTTTGGCGGGGCGGGTGGCCAACGATGGTACCCAAAGTCCCGTTATCATACAGGCATCTTGGCATGGGAATATTCCGAGGATATTCCCGCCGCCGTCTGGGGGAGGATCTGGACATGATCGGCAGTCACGGCGAGCGCTAAAGCAAGGTGATGTGACTTCGGGCATGAACCTCGGGAGGGGCTTTTGGGCTTGAAGCTACCGGGCAATCACTCTGCGAGGGTCGTTCGAGGGGCTGGAGGGGTACTGTTCACGTGGTGCGTATGAGGGGGCTTGGCTTATGGCGCTGAGAGGCTTGATTTAGCTGTTATCGTGAACGGCACCAGAGAGTGTCTTCAAGTTGTGTGCGTCGTCAAGAGTGGGAACTTGTATCTTGGAGCTCATTCACATGTTGAAACAGGGTGTACAGTTGGCAGGTAGAGCCCAACTTGGGAACATTATGAACGCGGTGGTCGTTCGGCATCCGCTGTCGAAGGGGATCCGGGGGCGGGTCCCCCCTATTTTGGGTCAATGGTTAGAACCTGGAACCGACCTCCTAGGAAGCTCACCCATCTAGTCCAATTGACGAACACGAAAGCAACAAGCAGGAAACCTTGAACTTTGTTCGATTGGATTGGAGGTAAAAAGCGACCTCCCCTCCCCTCGAGCAGTATCCCGAAGAGACATTGGGTCGGATGCAGGCAAAACAAAAACATTGATTCGAGAGAGGCTCGAACTCCCGGCCTTCAGTGATCATCCAGAGATGTAAGACTGACGTGATAACCAGCTACACCATCGAACCAATTGACCCTCATCCTCAATCCAGCCCGCATTAGATACTTAATGCTTACACCCATAATGCTCCAACATCATCAATCCAACCACAATTGACACGGACAGGCAAGAGTGATGAGTTGCGGCTTTCTGACAGTACTAAGATTAAGATTCTCACCATTGCGATTCCTAGCTCGGCTACTTACATTTGGTCTTGTACATTGGGGTTATCCCATGCCACTTCTGAAAACCTGGAAGGACTTGAATCATCGCAAGATCAACTTCTCGATATAAGCAAGCCAACCTTTGGCGGCTTTTTCCTCAACAAGAGTGAATTGGCGACTGTAATGTAAATTGAGGGATTTATGTTTTATTCCCCTTGCAGGCGCAAATCTGTGTGCTAATCAAGATGCTGTACATAAGTCCCCGTCGTTCCTTTGTCCTTGATGTGCAGCCCCCAGGGATCCGACAACCCAAGGCATCTTGTTTCTTCGGTCCTTGAACCTCGAATGGATATTGTTGCATCTTACCACCTGTTCAATCCTCGGATCATGTCAAGCCCAAAACTGCAAAAGCCTAACACCGACGCCTTCGCCGACAGCTTATAAAGACAGGGACCCGCCGGTCTCTCCGACGCATCAGTCGCTGAGTCAGTAAAGCCTGGAGACTGGAGTTAAGAGGGCCATTCACCTCTAATTGCCGAGCTTGCATATTGCGTCTCTCCACCGCAAGATCCGCCGCATGCGGCTGGAACTCAAACTTCATCATCGTCTCCATGTTTGTTTCTGGCATCGGGGGCGCTCCCCGATAACGCATTGGACGCATGAAGCCAGGCACGGCGCGAGTCAGTACACATGTCACTGCCGTAAGCCAACCGGTTTTACGGGCATAGTAGCTAGGCAGCCAGCTTGTCGGATTCGGTTTCCCAAGCTCATAAGTTACGGGGGACAAGCCGCTTCCAACGATCTATTAAAGACCGCTCCCACCCATTCAAGGAGAGACATTCTCGGCATTTGAATCAAGCTCAAAATTCAAACACTACTTTTCATCAAAATTGCCAATCATGAAGACTCTCCTGACAGGTAAGTTGCTTGTGAGTTGGGATGGCGGCTGGTCTTGGACTAACATTGTGGCGTTTGACAAGGCGGTACTGGATTCCTTGGCGGCCATGTGCTGGACACACTCCTCCGCAGGGGCCACTCGGTTCTCACCACCGTGAGGTCGGACGACAAGGGAAAGCAACTTCTCGCCGACTACCCGGAAATCCCGAAGGACAAGCTTGACTATGTCGTCGTTCCCGACGTCGCAGCTCCCGGAGCCTTCTCCGGTCTGGGTCCGCACGGCCTGGAGGCGGTCCTTCATGTGGCTAGCCCTGTAAGTAATGTTCATCCACATTCAGCTCATATGTCCTGACATGAGTGCTAGTTCCACTACAACGTGACCGATGTCAAGAAGGACCTCATCGACCCCGCCGTCCTGGGCACCACCGGCATTCTCAAAGCCATCAAGGAGTCCTGCCCCGCCGTCAAGCGCGTCGTAATTACCTCCTCGTTTGCCGCCATCCTCGACATGGGTGTTGCCCAACGCGGCGAGAAGAAGACCTACTCTGAAGCCGACTGGAGCCCCGTCACCCTCGAAGACGCCATGGCCAACCCCGGCATGGCCTATATTGGCTCCAAGAAACTCGCCGAGCAGGCCGCCTGGGACTTTGTCGAGAAGGAGAAGCCCGCCTTCACTCTCTCAACTATCAACCCTCCCATGATCTACGGACCCGTCAGGTACCACGTCAAGTCTCTGGACTCGGTCAACACCTCGAACCAGTTTCTCGCCGAGGTCCTGCAGGGCAAGCACAAAGACGGACTTCCCGTGACGGGCCTGCCGCTGTGGGTTGACGTGCGAGATGTGGCTCTTGCGCACGTGCTGGCCATTGAGCGTGATGAGGCCGCTGGGAAGCGTTTCCTTCTTGCTGCTGGCCACTGCAGCAATGTTGAGCTGGTCAAGGCGGTCTGGGAGAACTATCCTGACCTGAGGGACAAGCTTCCGGAGGAGAAGAACTGGGGAGGCGCTCCCAGCCCTGTGCCTGATTCGTTTGGATTTGACAGGTCGAGGGTGGATTCCGTGTTTGGGATCGAGTTCATCCCGTACGAGAAGACGATCATTGATTCGGTCAAGTCTTTGATTGCCTAGATGTGGCACCTGCAGAGAGGCCAGCCATTTGGCCTGCACTTCAAGTATCACTACAAATCTTGTCACCTCGAGACTTTACTGCCAAGGTTCATGGTGGTGTATGTCTGCTAGTGACACTTTGGTGCACTGTCACCTCTCAAGAGAACCTCGGTGATGGCACCTCAAAACACCCCTCTGCCATTGGAGTAAGGCTGCCTCGGGACGGACAGGTGCATCTCGAGGCAAGGCACGCGTGCCCCGCTCCTGTGTGACCACAAGCATCTGTTGTTGAACCAAAGCATCCGTCCCATCCCAGGTTCTGTCTCCCACTTGCCACTCAGCCTCCCGTCACGTCCATCGACGACACCCATCGCAGCTCCACCTCCATGCTTCTAGACGCGTCTCATGCCTCATCACATCTCACTTTGAGCCCGCAGCTTCCCAACCCAGCTGCCGTGAGGTTTCGCGTCCGCCATACAACGCGTCCGCGGCCCGTGCACGCGTCCCTTCCACCCCTGAGCCCCCTTTTCTGCACCTGTACCTTCACCACCACACCCCAATGCAGGCACGTGAACAACGAAAGCTCCCGTGTCAAATACCATTCTCGCAGCTGCCTCTCCATCCGAACAATCACTTTTTCCAAATCGGGCTCTCCTCTCACCCGGTAGCCGAAAATTCCGCCCACCCTCGTCCCCGACCTTTTCCTCCCACAGCTCACGGTTCATTCCATCTTCCCAACAATCCCTCAACCCAACTTTCCACGCAACCCTCCACCGTTGAACATCAACGACGATCAATACTTTCAGGAATACCCTCTGCACTTCTGTCTCTGGCTACCAGCTCTGGTGACCTTTAATCCGTAATCCACCAGATCACTTCCTCTTTGGATCAGATCACCTCTTCGGCTTCCGCCATCACCATCCGCAATCCGCCTCTGCCATCGGGAATACCTTCTGCATCCCAAGACTGGAGTCTGAATCCCAAAACGAAAGAAGCGAAAGAACAATCTCAAGTTTCACAAGGTACGAAAGCACGAGACCACAGCCATTGAGCCTCACTCGTTGACACCACACCAGAACAAAGACCACCTCAATCAAGACCCGCAGAGTATGAACGGAACGGAGAAGAGCGGCAAGGCTGTTCGCCGCTTCACCAAAGACGGCCGCCCTCTCAACGACTACCGATTCTCCGCGACAAACATGATGATTGGTCTCGATCCCATGGTCCTGAGGGCGAAGATGAAGCATGAGGCTAGCATCAAGGCCGAGAAGAGCCAGCAGCGGATGAACATCGCTACCCAGACCAGCGAGGGCTCTCCTGACGCCCTTGCCTGGGAGTCATTCAACGCCTCCAAGGTCGAGAATGGCAACAAAGAGGACCCAATCACAATGGAGCAGAACAATGACGACGACACATCGAGCGAGGCCCAGAGCGTACTCACTCCCGAGTCATCCTCCGGCGTTGACACGCCTAATTCTGCCGAAGAAGGCTCCGTCAGCGCCGAGGAGCATAATGCAGAGACATCCATCGAGGCAGGCGTATCGACCGAGAGCTATGGAGAGTCAACACCCGCCGCTTCGACCGACGATGATGATGCTACATCGGGAGTCGTCTCCGATGCCGAGACCTCGACAAAGTCCGTCACGTTTGCCGAGGGCACCAGCTCCCCTGCTTCTTCGCCTCTTGTCTCGAATAGCCAGCCAATCTTCCACAGCTCCAACGCGAGCAGCGGTCCTTGGACTATGTCCGAGGATGCCATGGTCGTCGGCATGAGTGAGCCTCCCCTGAAAACCATCAACACGCAAACCACAGCTAACACATCAATCCAGAGGACCAGGGCGCCGACTGGGACATCATCGCTTCCTGCATCCAACGCACCAAGGCCGAGGTCCGCAAGCGCTACTACGAGCTCAAATGCAACAAGGCCAACGTGGAAGCCCTCATCGAGGCCGCCAGCAACGCCATCCCCGACGCCGGCGTCATCATGGAACCCAGAGCCTCTACCCAGATCAACCTGCCCAACATCGCCGAGTCACTCAGCCCCGCCACCGACGACGGCTATGTCACCGACGATGAGGACAACGAGATCGGCGAGGACACGGAAGAGGAGGACGAAGAGGAAGAGGAGACCGACAGCGAGTCGTCCTCACAAGCCTCTTTCGGAAACGACAACGAGGACGAGGACGACCAGGCTAGCAGCGCTGACGAGCTCCTCGACCTCCTCCGCGAGGACTCGTCCTCCGGTTCCTCCTCCATCACCGACGAGGCCGACGGCTACGATGCCTCCGACTACGACCCCTTCGCCGACCCAGCCGATCCCATCGCCTGCGAGCGCGAGCGCCGCCGCCAGGAGCGCTACATCCGCCACCACGCCCATGCCTCCATGTACCCCGCGGCCTCAGGCGGCGGTGACCGCTTCTCAGACCAGGGCTTCTCCCGCCGCGACCGAGCCCTTCTCGCTGACCTTGCCAACCGCCGGGTCGCCTCGCAGTGGCTCGAGATGCAAGCAAACTTCTTCAACGTCACCGGCCGCATGGTGCCCCTTCATCTCATCAAGGCCAAACTCGAGAACTCCCGCCCCTGCGACGCGGAGATCGGCTACCTCGCTCGGGGAGAGCGCAAGGTCGCCAACTGGACCGATGCCGTTGCCGACACGGGCGAAATGCTCGATCCCGCTCAAGCTAGGGATGCGCCTGATGACGCCTTGCGCTACGAGACGGACGACGAGGCCCACGGCCACATGGGCAGTGTCAGTGATAAGGAGTGAGAGAGCGGAAGAGACAAGCTCGACTTTGAGGAGACGTCGTCCTCCCACACACATTCACCGAACGACTGCAACAACAAAGCGAGTCGTCATCATGG